GACAGAGGCCACTTAAGAAAAGTGCAGGGGTGTGTGCTTGCGATTGATTCAGCGAGAGTGAGGGCGGGGCCTTGATTTCACAGCTTTACTTCCTGCTCACGACTGTGCATGTCAGGTCCCGAAAACGCAAGTGCGCAGACTCAAGTCCCAAGATGTCAGCGCCATATCGGGACACTGGCGGCTTCAGTTTTCTCCAATGGAAAAGAGCGAAGGGGTGTCGTCCATCTTTTTTTACAGTCTATGAGCAAACACTGTTGCCATTCAACAGCGAGTGTGACAACGTGTGTAAAATGTTTTAACAAAGTTCCAACACTTCTTTATGAGGCTATACTGTGTGTGTTAAATATTTCTGCTCAGTGTCAGATATTTCTCTGCTTAAAGTAAAAGTCATAATAGCTATGTGACGACAAAATGTTAATCTTAACTTAAGTGTTTTACATCAGTAGCCTATTAAACGGCGCAATTTTTCATTTAATCAGAAATCAGAAAATAGTTAAATATTTAAGATAATATTGTGTCCAGTTTGGCCCTGTAAATAAAAGGGTATTATTTTTTGACAAAGTGTGTGCGGTTTCATTTTCTTTAGTACCGGTATAAGAACCTTTTAAGCACCGGAACCGTTTAAAAAATACAGAGTAGGTACTGGTATCGGATAAAACCCAACCAATACCCAACCCTAATCATGTTGCAGAAGCATAGGAAGCACGTCCTGATCGTCAGGTTCCTGAGGGAACAAGGATATAAAAAAGACTTGCGCCTCTCTTTATCCTCTTGGGCCTTATCTCTGGTGCCATTGCACTGCAGAGACCGCCCCTGAGCCACTGCAGGCAGTGAGTTAAAAAATCAGTTTTTACAGTTCTCCTGCTCGCATGGTCTCTACTAGAGGGTAGGGACTTGCTCGCTTTCGGTCAACGACTTGTGCCTAGAATTCGGGCCGGCTAACTCTCACGAGCTGAGACCCCGGGCTGGATATGTCCCCAAGGTTCCTACCTCTCCCTTAAGGTGTGACCAGGTGGTGAACCTGCAAGTGCTGCCCCGGAGGAAGCAGACCCAGCCCTGGCTTTCTCTGTCCGTCCGCTTCATTGCGGTTATACGAGTACAGAACGCAAGCCATAGGACCTCAGACCAGCTCTTATCTGTTAAGGAAGTCAGCAGAGAAGGAAGGCTGTTTCCAAGCAAGGTTGGCCCACTGAATGTGGTTGCCTTCATCTTGGTGAAAATCCAGAGATGCACATGTCCACTTACGTGGTGAGCTCCTCTTAAATGAGTGTGTGCTCCCGCCTAGGCGTTGACACAGAGTGCTTTGCTGACAGATATTCTAGAGTTGGGGGCTAGGTGACACCTTAGTCGAACCGCGGCTTCCCCTGGCCTCCCTTCACATGAAGCCAGTTTCACCGTGAGCCCGGTTCGAAGTGTCGGCTTGCTGTGTCATTCCCCTCCTACGGAGTGGATATGTGCGCCATTTTGCTCTAGTAGAGATCCCTTAACCGAACCCTGTTGAGTTCCTCCGCACCCCTCCGACATCGGACGTGGCGGAACGCCCGGTGTTAGGCCTACCACTCGTAAGCAGTGTGGAACCTGTGTTAGGCTGGGTCCATATGTTGCGATCCCTACAGTGATGCCATATGCGTATTCTTCCACGGTACGACTCCCTACGGTGAGCCCGTGTCTTCCCTCTGCCGTCATTGGCCGGTTGAGTCTCCCCCCTGTCATAGGGTGGAGCCACCCCAGTGACCTTCCATATGTTGTACTGCCCGGTCTCCGCCCAGTTCATAGGTGTTTTCTCCACGTTACCTCCCTTCGGGCAGAATGTGGCTTCCGCAGCGTCCCTTCCTTCCATGTACAGGGAACGTTTTCCCAGTGGTCCTGTAGGAACAGCAGTGACTTCCCTGGCCTAAGCCCTGTCCCTTCCCCGCCTTAAAGTGCGGGGGATCAGGAGGCTTTTGTCAAGGCACTGGAAGGTGGCAGCTTTAGTGGCGTGTTCAATGGTTGATCCCCATCCAGTCGACGTTGACTACGTCTGACGTTCTCGACTGAAAGGGAACGTCCTGGTTGCGTATGCAACCCACTGTTCCCTGAAGGAGGGAACGGAGGACGTAGTCCCCTTGCCACTACCACTGGACCACCGCTGACTTCGAGTTACGCTCGTCTCCTCAGCGAAAAGCAACTAGTGCGTGCATCCTCTTCCTTATTTATACCCGCGCCGCGGGGGCGGAGTGTGTGATGTCATCACGCACGCCAATTCCATTGGCTCATTCAATAGTACTCAAAGACGATTGGCTCCCTAGCGTGATCCCCATTCAGTCGTTTCTTGAGCAGCAAATCACATCACCATATTATTCCCTCAGGAAGATTGCATGTTTTCTTGCTCGGCTGGATGGATGTTGGACTCATGAACAATAATCACGTTGTTTGCATTCACCAAAACTGATTTGCCGAAAACAAAATGCGGAAAGGGAAAGGGATTTGCCGTTAGTGCGAGTCCGGATCGAACCGGACGCAAATCAAACAATGATTGGTCCCAAAAGAATGATTAATTCTCAATGTAGAGTTTGTTATTGGTCTGATGTGCGAGAGTGTGGGCTGTGATTGGAGGATGACCGGTGTCGTGATCATTCTCAAGTGTCGTGTTGCTGTTGTATCGCTCAGCGGTCAGATCAGCATAGCAGTCAATAAACAGGACAAGGCAAATAAATTAGGCCCAAAAATACGGGACGTCCCGGCTAATACGGGACAGTTGGCAACCCTAGACCAGCGGGATAATGCATCAGTCATCATGAGCCACAGTCATCCATACATGTTTAACCCTAATGGAAAGTCCATGCATATTTCAGGCTTAATTGAGAGCTAATAGTGTTCGGCTGAATGAGAGCGTTTGCCCATCACTCACCGGCTTCTTCACGCTGCAGAAGTCCCAGTTTAACCAGCGCAGGGGCTTCCACATGTGTGATTATACAGAGAGTCCCAGTTTAACCAGCGCAGGGGCTTCCACATGTGTGATTATACAGAGAGTCCCAGTTTAACCAGCGCAGGGGCTTCCACATGTGTGATTATACAGAGAGTCCCAGTTTAACCAGCACAGGGGCTTCCACATGTGTGATTATACAGAGAGTCCCAGTTTAACCAGCACAGGGGCTTCCACATGTGTGATTATACAGAGAGTCCCAGTTTAACCAGCGCAGGGGCTTCCACATGTGTGATTATACAGAGAGTCCCAGTTTAACCAGCACAGGGGCTTCCACATGTGTGATTATACAGAGAGTCCCAGTTTAACCAGCGCAGGGGCTTCCACATGTGTGATTATACAGAGAGTCCCAGTTTAACCAGCACAGGGGCTTCCACATGTGTGATTATACAGAGTCCCAGTTTAACCAGCGCAGGGGCTTCCACATGTGTGATTATACAGAGTCCCAGTTTAACCAGCACAGGGGCTTCCACATGTGTGATTATACAGAGAGTCCCAGTTTAACCAGCGCAGGGGCTTCCACATGTGTGATTATACAGAGTCCCAGTTTAACCAGCACAGGGGCTTCCACATGTGTGATTATACAGAGAGTCCCAGTTTAACCAGCGCAGGGGCTTCCACATGTGTGATTATACAGAGAGTCCCAGTTTAACCAGCGCAGGGGCTTCCACATGTGTGATTATACAGAGTCCCAGTGTAACCAGCACAGGGGCTTCCACATGTGTGATTATACAGAGAGTCCCAGTTTAACCAGCGCAGGGGCTTCCACATGTGTGATTATACAGAGAGTCCCAGTTTAACCAGCGCAGGGGCTTCCACATGTGTGATTATACAGAGTCCCAGTTTAACCAGCACAGGGGCTTCCACATGTGTGATTATACAGAGAGTCCCAGTTTAACCAGCGCAGGGGCTTCCACATGTGTGATTATACAGAGTCCCAGTTTAACCAGCACAGGGGCTTCCACATGTGTGATTATACAGAGAGTCCCAGTTTAACCAGCACAGGGGCTTCCACATGTGTGATTATACAGAGTCCCAGTTTAACCAGCACAGGGGCTTCCACATGTGTGATTATACAGAGAGTCCCAGTTTAACCAGCACAGGGGCTTCCACATGTGTGATTATACAGAGAGTCCCAGTTTAACCAGCGCAGGGGCTTCCACATGTGTGATTATACAGAGAGTCCCAGTTTAACCAGCACAGGGGCTTCCACATGTGTGATTATACAGAGAGTCCCAGTTTAACCAGCGCAGGGGCTTCCACATGTGTGATTATACAGAGAGTCCCAGTTTAACCAGCGCAGGGGCTTCCACATGTGTGATTATAAGATTCAACGCTGTTCTTAGACACTTAAATATGCTTGAATGTCACTGCATTAGACAGCATGTGTTATAAAGTGTCATCTGTGCTCAAGTGCTACTGTAGCTTTTCTCAAATCTCATTTTTACTCCTTTAATCAGCTTGTGGATTCTTCCTGATTACATGTTTGTGTGACTTGACTGACAGTAAGAGACGTGATGGATTATATTGAAGAATTAACATTTACATTGTGACAGTCTTTCCATTTCAAATAAATGCTGTTCTTTTGAACTTTCAATTCAACAAAGAAAAAACTTTATTATTGATAATAATCATAAATATTTCTTGAGCATCAGATCCTCATATTAGAGTGATTTCTGAAGGATCATGTGACACTGAAGACTGGAGTAATGATGCTGGAAATTCAGCTTTGATCACAGGAATAAATTACACTTTACTGTATATTCACATAGAAAACAGCTGATTTACACTGGGATAATATTTTACTGTTTTTAATGTATTTTTTGATCTTTGATTTTTTGTGTTTTTTTTTCTCACCGGCCGTCTGAATATGTTTGGGGCCACTGTGTACTCTATAAATAAATGCCTGATAAGATGATATATAAGGAAGCATCTGCAGCAGCGTGCTTTAGCATTGCACTCCTTATGGAGTTAATATGATTGATGGTTTGGATGATATTTATGCGTGTGTGTGTGTGTGTGTGTGTGTGTGCAGGTATTTCTTCCGCAGTGGAAACATCGAGCACCCCGGAGACAAGCTCTTCAACACTACAGTGGAGGTTCTTCCTTTCGACGTGAGTCCCTGTCATTGTGTGCAGACGAACACTAACAGTGGTGTGTGTGTGTGTGTGTGTGTGTGTGTGTGTGTGTGTGTGTGTGTGTGTGTGTGTGTGTGTTGCTCTGCTTCACTGCAGCCTCTATAAACACACCAGATCTGTGCTGAAACACCGTCTCAACAGCTCAAAGCTTCAGTCAGTGTTCAACATATGATGCAGAGGCTAAACTCCGGCAAGCCTCCTGTTCGAGTGTCAAGAGCTGAATTTATCATAGTTTGCCATAAATGTGCAAGCATTGCTCATTCTTAGAGTTAAGGACTTGTTTAAATCCCTAACCTGAAGTGTTAAACGTGCCATGGCTCACTATTTGTACCACAGACACGTCTGATACCTCAAATCATGCTTTGGACGACATCCTCGCAGCCACGAGAGCAAAAGATCAAGACTAATAAACACACGACATGTAATACAACGCACAGAAAAGTATCCGTGTACTTTCTTCACTGTTTGTCTGATGACAGCTGACAGATGTGAACGCGATAACTTCTTGTTCCGATGAACACAACGGATATATTCACCAGAGAAGACGGTAAATGGATATTCTTAGTCTTAAAGTCCCCCTGTATCAATCATTTTATCCCTTAAAACTCATCTTTGATCACCAAAATGACATATTTAAATGTTTTTTTTTTTTAAAAAAATTCTTCATGCCTTTAAATATCTTGAATGTAACTCGACACCCTCGCCTCATTTAGTATGCGCGGTTCTATGAATATGCAAATTAGCCCCGCCTCCACTCACTCACTCAGCTCAGAGATCCACTGGTTGACGATCACACGTTGATCTGATTGGTTACAAGGTCGTTTGTGACGTCAGAAACACCAGCGATTTCAAACCGTGTTTTTGAGACTGTCTTTGGTTCACTGCAGTTTTAAGGAGGAAATACTCAGCAATGCTGTCGACTTATGAACTTACACATGGTGTGTCTTAAAGCGTATTAAACACACCACATAGACACATAAACAACATTAAAAGCTGGATTTTCACCACAGGGGGACTTTAATTTCTCATAACTCGTGTGTTTTTCTGTTATAGAGTTAAAAGAGTCTCATGGACGCAGTCGAGCACAGAAGATCAACGGCAGGATTTTCATTAAATCTCTGTTTGAGAGATTCGTTTTTTCACCAAACCCGATCATAAACCTACGACACGTGTCGCATCGGATCATTCTGGGACACTTTTGCATCTTTTTAAAAGCTTGATGTTGGTTGCTATTCACTGCCATTATATCAATGAGTGTGAGCGGGACATTTTTAAACGATTCTACTTTAGTGGTCTAAAAACGAAAGAAGGGCGTACGGCATTAGACCAACACCAGGGTGATTTAATGTTGACTTAATTTTAATTTTAGGGTGAACTATCCCTGTAAATGTGACAAAAATGATATGAACATAACTAACAAGAGACCAAAGTCTCGTTTAAAGAAGAGAATCATGAGAAAGTCACCGCATCTCTCCATCACTGCTCTACCCAGCCAAACTCGAGGAGCGTATAGGAGAAAGCAAAGCAGTGGAGATAGAGATATACTTCTGTTTTATGAGCTAATGCAACTGTACTGACACACAGTAATAAAACGTGACCTGCTGTGTGTGCGGTCGGCGCAGAGGAGATATGTTCTCCCGAGGGAGCGCAGACGAGGGGCGGCACTGTGATTTAAGATTACAGCCGGAAACGGACCTTCACCGCAAGATTAATCACGGGATTTTCTAAGAGAGAGAGAGAGAGAGAGAGCCTCCCTTTAATATCTCTCGTCCTCTCGCTGGTTTCTGCTTCTCCTCCCTGCCGGGTTGTTAGATCTCTCTTTTCTCCTCATTTCCCTCTTTGTAAAGCTCCCTTAAGGGATGTTTATGGAATTCAGCCGGATATAGGAAATTAGCAGGGAATGCCCTGGAGAAAGGAGTATCTGTGGTCTGTTTTATGCTGTTAATGCAGTTTGGGAGATTAGAGCGTCGCTCTTCTGGGGGTTTTGAACATATGTGTCTTCTTTTGGGTCAAATCACTGCGTTTCGGTCCAAGAACTTACAGTTGCCAGGGACACGGACACAATGTGTGTAAAACCAATATTTTTGCATCTGAAGTCTTCATATATATTCTGAAAGTGATTCTGTGTCTCTTTGGGATGATGGCACCATAAGACGCCGTTCACTTGCGTAACACAAACTTCTGGAGGACACATGGGTCTGAAGTAGTGCACAGTAAAACACGTTGGGTTTTTTTTTTTTAACCCAGCCATTGGGTTACACAAATTGGGTCACTATGTTGGGTCACTGTTTTTAAAATCATTGGGTCATTTTTAGTAATGACCCGGCTGTTGGGTTAAATACGTATGTTAATTATGTGTATTTACTTTAAATTCTAGACTCCCCAATATTTAGTTTGTAATTTAAAAATATATTTGTTGAGACATATTTATTGTTTTATACAAATAAACCATCTGTATTTGAAAACAAAGTGCATTTTATTTATTAAAATAATGTCATAAATACAAATAAATAGTTAACTTAACTGTTGTGTTACTTTTAACCTGGAGCACTGAAGGTGCTATACCACCCCATAGTTGGGTTACTCGTTGGGGTATTTTTAACCCAACACTATTAAGCGAGTGAGTTTAGGTATATAAGATGCAGAGCCAGTGGTTGTTCTGTAGGCAAACATCAGTGCCTTGAATTTGATGCGAACGGCTGTTGGAAACCAGTGCAAGTTTGTGAAGAGAGGACTGACGTGTGTCTCAAGGAGAGAGCATTACAATAGCCCAGTCTGGATAGAACAAGCGCTTGAACTTGAGTTGTGTAGCTCTGATAGGAAGGGCCTGGTCCTCCTAATGTTGCATAATGCAAATCTGCAGGACCGGGCATTCTAGCAGTGTGGTCTGTAAAGTTCAATTGATCGTCAATCACAGCTCCAAGGTTCCCGGCTCCCCTGGATGGAGTCATGAATGACGAACCCAGCTGAATGGAGAAGTTGTGATGAAGTGTTGGGTTGGCCAGGATCACAAGTCTTTGCAAGGTTTAGTTGAAGGTGGTGGTCCTTCATCCAGCAGGAATATCTGTCAGGCAGGCTGAGATGCGAGCAGCTCCCGTCAGATCCTCTGGTTGGAATGCCAAAAAAGCTATTTTTTCTGTTTCATCTGACCATAGAACCAGTCCCGTTTGAAGTTCCAGTAGTGTCAGTTACTTTTCAAACGTTCTATGGACAGATGAAACAAACAAAAAAAAGAGCTTTTTGCCAGTAAACACTTAAAGGATTAGTTCACCTCAAAATGAAAATTTCCTGAAAATTTACTCACCCCAATGCCATCCAAGATGTTCATGTCTTTCTTTCTTCAGTGGAAAAGAAATTAAGTTTTTTGAGGAAAACATTTCAGGATTTTTCTCCACACAATGGACTTCAACGGTAAACAAATTGTTGAAGTCCAAATCAATGCAGTTTCAAAGGGCTTTGAAGAGTTTCAAACGGCTCTGCTCGATCCCAGCTGAGGAATAGGGTCTTATCTAGCGAAACGATCGGCCATTTTAAAAAAATAAAAAAAACATTTATATACTTTTTAACCACAATTGTTCGTTTTGTGCTGGTCGGCGACATTACGTCATCACGTTGGAAACTTCACGATTATTATTATTATTTTTTTTATATTAATAATAAATTAAAACAAAGATGTCAGACGATTTTGAAGTTGGAGGAGAAAACGGGAGAAAATGAGATGGAATGTTTCGCCCTTCCCTGCCTTTTTGAACCGGAGTACACAGACAAATAACTTGGATAGATGACGTGACGCGTGACGTTTCCAACGTGATGACGTAATCCCTGGCGCGTCGCAGACCAGCACAAGACGAACAATTGTGGTTAAAAAGTATATAAATGTTTATTTTTTTTAGAAAATGAACGATCATTTCGCTAGATAAGACCCTGTTCCTCAGCTGGGAACGTGCAGAACCCTTTGAAGCTCTTCATAGCCCTTTGAAACTGCATTGATTTGGGCTTCAACATGTTGGTTGCAATTGAAGTCCATTGTGTGGAGAAAAATCTTGAAATGTCTTCCTCAAAAAACTTAATTTCTTTTCCACTGAAGAAAGAAAGACATGAAAATCTTGGATGGCATTTGGGTAAGTAAATTATCAGGAAATTTTCATTTTGAGGTGAACTAATCCTTTAATATGGGTTTGGTTCATACAGGGATAAAAAAGTACCCCATGTGTAAAATGAAATACTCTGCTGTATCTTTAATGCTGTGGGCCTAATTTTCTGCCAGAGGTCCTGGACATCTTGTTCAGATACATGGCATCATGGATTCGATCAAATACCAACAGATAAAAAAATCTAAACCTGACAGCCTGTGCTAGAAATCTTATAACAGCCCATGTTTGGATCTTCCAACAGGACAGTGATCCAAAAACAAACATCAAAATCAAAACAAAAATGGGTCACTGAGCACAAAACCAAGCATCTGCAATGGCCATCCCAGTCCCTATAGAACCCTATAGAACATGAGTGGGCTGAACTGAAAAGAAGCGCCAACATGGATCTGGGAATCTGAAGGATCTGGAGAGATTCTGTATGGAGGAATAGTCTCTGATCTCTTGTCAGGTGTCCTCCAAACTCATCAGGCATTAGAGGAGAAGACTCCGAGAAGAGCTGTTATCTTGGAAAAAGGAGGTTGCAAAAAGTATTTAATAAAAGGGGGCAAATAAAATATCAAAAGGATAAACAATACAGATTTATTTTTTACAGCCATCTTTGATCATATGTACCAAGGGGGCAATGAATTCTGACCAGCACTGTAGATGGAGAATAGAACTGGTCCCAGCACTGAGCCCTGAGGCACTCCAGTAGCTAGATAACAGTGATGGGATAAACTATGTTTCTGAATGACAGATCCTAATGATGACATTTAGATGGAGAAGCGAAGCGGTGCCAGCACTGAGCCCTGATGCACTCCAGTAGCTAGATAACAGTGATGGGATAAACTATGTTTCTGAATGACAGATCCTAGTGATGACATTTAGATGGAGAAGAGAAGCGGTCCCAGCACTGAGCCCTGAGGCACTCCAGTATCTAGATGACAACAGTGATGGGATAAACCATGTTTCTGAATGACAGATCCTAGTGATGACATTTAGATGGAGAAGAGAAGCGGTCCCAGCACTGAGTCCTGATGCACTCCAGTAGCTAGATAACAGTGATGGGATAAACTATGTTTCTGAATGACAGATCCTAGTGATGTCATGTAGATGGAGAAGAGAAGCGGTCCCAGCACTGAGCCCTGAGGCACTCCAGTAGCTAGATAACAGTGATGGGATAAACTATGTTTCTGAATGACAGATCCTAGTGATGTCATGTAGATGGAGAAGAGAAGCGGTCCCAGCACTGAGTCCTGATGCACTCCAGTAGCTAGATAACAGTGATGGGATAAACTATGTTTCTGAATGACAGATCCTAGTGATGTCATGTAGATGGAGAAGAGAAGCGGTCCCAGCACTGAGCCCTGAGGCACTCCAGTAGCTAGATAACAGTGATGGGATAAACTATGTTTCTGAATGACAGATCCTAGTGATGTCATGTAGATGGAGAAGAGAAGCGGTCCCAGCACTGAGTCCTGAGGCACTCCAGTAGCTAGATGACAACAGTGATGGGATAAACCATGTTTCTGAATGACAGATCCTAATGATGACATTTAGATGGAGAAGAGAAGCGGTCCCAGCACTGAGTCCTGAGGCACTCCAGTAGCTAGATAACAGTGATGGGATAAACTATGTTTCTGAATGACAGATCCTAGTGATGTCATGTAGATGGAGAAGAGAAGCGGTCCCAGCACTGAGCCCTGAGGCACTCCAGTAGCTAGATGACAACAGTGATGGGATAAACCATGTTTCTGAATGACAGATCCTAATGATGACATTTAGATGGAGAAGAGAAGCGGTGCCAGCACTGAGCCCTGAGGCACTCCAGTAGCTAGATAACAGTGATGGGATAAACTATGTTTCTGAATGACAGATCCTAGTGATGTCATGTAGATGGAGAAGAGAAGCGGTCCCAGCACTGAGCCCTGAGGCACTCCAGTAGCTAGATAACAGTGATGGGATAACCTATGTTTCTGAATGACAGATCCTAGTGATGTCATGTAGATGGAGAAGAGAAGCGGTCCCAGCACTGAGCCCTGAGGCACTCCAGTAGCTAGATGACAACAGTGATGGGATAAACCATGTTTCTGAATGACAGATCCTAATGATGACATTTAGATGGAGAAGAGACGCGGTGCCAGCACTGAGCCCTGAGGCACTCCAGTAGCTAGATAACAGTGATGGGATAAACTATGTTTCTGAATGACAGATCCTAGTGATGTCATGTAGATGGAGAAGAGAAGCGGTCCCAGCACTGAGCCCTGAGGCACTCCAGTAGCTAGATGACAACAGTGATGGGATAAACCATGTTTCTGAATGACAGATCCTAATGATGACATTTAGATGGAGAAGAGAAGCGGTCCCAGCACTGAGCCCTGAGGCACTCCAGTAGCTAGATGATAACAGTGATGGGATAAACCATGTTCCTGTATGACAGATCCTATTGATGACATGTAGATGGAGAAGAGAAGCGGTCCCAGCACTGAGCCCTGATGCACTCCAGTAGCTAGATGATAACAGTGATGGGATAAACCATGTTCCTGTATGACAGATCCTATTGATGACATGTAGATGGAGAAGAGAAGCGGTCCCAGCACTGAGCCCTGATGCACTCCAGTAGCTAGATGATAACAGTGATGGGATAAACCATGTTCCTGTATGACAGATCCTATTGATGACATGTAGATGGAGAAGAGAAGCAGTCCCAGCACTGAGCCCTGAGGCACTCCATTAGCTAGATGAAAACAATGATGGGAAAAACCATGTTTCTGTATGACATGTAGATGTTGAAGAGAAGCGGTCCCAGCACTGAGCCCTGAGGCACTCCAGTAGCTAGATGATAACAGTGATGGGATAAACCATGTTTCTGAATGACAGACACTAGTGATGTCATGTAGATGGAGAAAAGAAGCAGTCCCAGCACTGAGCCCTGAGGCACTCCAGTAGCTAGATGATAACAGTGATGGGATAAACCATGTTCCTGTATGACAGATCCTATTGATGACATGTAGATGGAGAAGAGAAGCAGTCCCAGCACTGAGCCCTGAGGCACTCCAGTAGCTAGATGATAACAGTGATGGGATAAACCATGTTCCTGTATGACAGATCCTATTGATGACATGTAGATGGAGAAGAGAAGCAGTCCCAGCACTGAGCCCTGAGGCACTCCAGTAGCTAGATGATAACAGTGATGGGATAAACCATGTTCCTGTATGACAGATCCTATTGATGACATGTAGATGGAGAAGAGAAGCAGTCCCAGCACTGAGCCCTGAGGCACTCCATTAGCTAGATGAAAACAATGATGGGAAAAACCATGTTTCTGTATGACATGTAGATGTTGAAGAGAAGAGGTCCCAGCACTGAGCCCTGAGGCACTCCAGTAGCTAGATGATAACAGTGATGGGATAAACCATGTTTCTGAATGACAGATCCTAATGATGACATTTAGATAGAGAAGAGAAGCGGTCCCAGCACTGAGCCCTGATGCACTCCAGTAGCTAGATGATAACAATGATGGGAAAAAACATGTTTCTGTATGACATGTAGATGGAGAAGAGAAGCGGCCCCAGCACTGAGCCCTGAGGCACTCCAGTAGCTAGATGATAACAATGATGGGAAAAAACATGTTTCTGAATGACATGTAGATGGAGAGCACTCCAGTAGCTAGATGTTGGGTCTTAGACACCTCACCCCTCCACGACACCCTGAAGGACCTGCTATGAGGGAAGACTTGAACTACTGGAGTGCTGGAGATGCCCTTCATCAACAGGAACAACTGCTGTGAATGTGTGCGCTGAGCTTCACTCTTAAAAATAAAGGTTCTTTATTGGCATCGATGGTTCAATGAAAAACCTTTAAGATTAAAGCTGTCAGTCCACTGAATAAGTCAATAAGAATCCAGTTGCGAAGTAACAGCAGTTTATTAGAATTTGTAAAATAAACAGGATGAGGTCAGAAGTAGAGGGCTGAGCAGGTCGGAATCACTGGCAACGCAGGGACAGCAATGGGCAGCAGGAACCAGGCAGAATCCAAAGCGACTCACCGAAATCCGGAAACACGGAGCCAAGAACGGGTACTGGGAAGAAACAGAGAAATCCTGAGAGCATAAGTCCACCAGAAGCCTCACAACAATCTGACAAAAGACAAGACAATACATCCACAATATATAGCCAGCTAGATGAGAGACAGCTGGCGCTGATCCGCTCATCAGCATGCTAACGAGCCACGCCCACACTAAACACACATAAAACACTGACAAACAGCAGCGGCGAGACAGTGAGTCCGTGAACCGTGACACATGCACTATTAAAAATAGATTCCAAAGGTTTGCCATAGAAGAACGACTTTGGTTCCCCAAAGAACCCTTTCAGTGATCAGTTCTTATAAGAACCTTTTTTTTTTTTAGCATGAAGAACATTTAAAAAAAATCGAAAGAACCCTTTTCCACTATGAAGAACCTTTTCTGCAATGGAAAGGTTCCATTGATGTTAAAGCTTCTTGATGGAACCATCAATGCCAATAAATAACCTTTATATGAGTGTTCCTCTCTCTAAATGTCAGCTCAGGGCTCCTGCGTCACTTCTCTTTAATGCGTCCTTCACACTTTAATTATTTTTGCTGTCATTTTTATTTTATCTTGACAGAAAAGCAGAAACACAGATTGGTTCAATATATCACTTTCTGAAGAATCTCTGCCAAAACTGATTTTTTTTTAATAAAGGAATATCACCTCAGATCTGGAAATATACAGTTGCACTCGCTTTCATAAACTGCTCATTCATATAGAGATTATTGTATGCAACAGAATAAAGGGCTAAATGAGATTTTTACATTTCATGAAGAAAAGAGTTGTGTTGGTCTGTGCAAAACTCATCCTCAGTGCTGTGGGTGGTTGCTAGGATGTTCTGGGTGGTTGCTAGGGGGTTTGATAAAAGCAAAAGATGAACCATGAACCAAGATGACTTTTGCACCCATGTTACCAATATTTGTTTTGTTTTTTTCTTCTCCGAATATAGGTTTAAAATTGTGAAATGCATATTTAGTCTAAATGAATGTATCACAGAGTCAGGACTAGCTAGTTTGAGTCCAAATATTGGTTACTGATAAACTCGCACTTTCAAGAAACATAATAAAACCGTACGAGTTGTGTAAAAAAATGATACATTGGAAAGAAATCATTAATTATACTGATCTAATCTAATTAATGGCTCTGCTCCCCTATTCCTAAACTCATTACTTCAGACCGATGTGTCTTCCAGAAGCTTCGTGGTGCATCATCCCAGAGAGGCACGAATCAGTTTCACAGAGCTTCACCTGGACTGTCCTCTGCATAACTCAACCCGAGTTAGCCACTTATAAGTCACTGCTGAATCTCTTTCGTCACACCATCAACCCATTAATACTAACATTTACTAATCTATATCTATTTAAAAAACACCTTGCTACGTGTTCTGTGCTGGACTAACTGGGACTGGTCACGGCACTTGCATATTGTTGCCCTGCTGTTAGTTTAATCTGCTAAATAATTAAATGTAAATGTATTAATTGAGATCATTTGCAATATTGGTTTGCCGTTTTACGGTAAAAACTAGATTATGGGCTAATCTGTTGACAAATGACTCGAGCGAGTGAGTGAGTGAGTGAGAGAGTGTGTGTGTGTGTGTGTGTGTGTTACATGCTGAAACACTTCAACACTTCTGTCCCTCTTGATCAGAATATTCAGTCCGAGAAAGAAGCACTGAAGGAGGGGAGAGAGAAGACGCCGAAGTACCAGCGCACAGAAGACGGCTTCATCAGAATAGGTGAGTGCACACCTGTGAACCGCACACCTGTGAAGTGCACACCTGTGAAGTGCACACCTGTGAAGTGCACACCTGTGTAGTGCACACCTGTAAAATAAGTGCACACCTGTGTAGTGCACACCTGTGAAGCGCACACCTGTGTAGTGCACACCTGTGAAGCGCACACCTGTGTAGTGCACACCTGTGTAGTGCACACCTGTGAACCGCACACCTGTGAAGGGCACACCTGTAAAGTAAGTGCACACCTGTGTAGCGCACACCTGTGTAGTGCACACCTGTAAAGTAAGTGTACACCTGTGAAGCAAGTGTACACCTGTGTAGCGCACACCTGTAAAGTAAGTGTACACCTGTGAAGCGCACACCTGTAAAGTAAGTGCACACCTGTGTAGTGCACACCTGTAAAGTAAGTGTACACCTGTGAAGCGCACACCTGTGAAGTAAGTGTACACCTGTGAAGCGCACACCTGTGTAGTGCACACCTGTAAAGTAAGTGTACACCTGTGAAGCGCACACCTGTGTAGTGCACACCTGTAAAGTAAGTGTACACCTGTGAAGCGCACACCTGTGTAGTGCACACCTGTAAAGTAAGGGTACACCTGTGAAGCGCACACCTGTGAAGTGAGTGCACACCTGTGAAGTAAGTGTACACCTGTGAAGCGCACACCTGTAAAGTAAGTGCACACCTGTGTAGCGCACACCTGTAAAGTAAGTGCACACCTGTGTAGCGCACACCTGTAAAGTAAGTGCACACCTGTGTAGCGCACACCTGTGTAGTGCACATCTGTGAAGTGCACACCTGTGTAGTGCACACCTGTAAAGTAAGTGTACACCTGTGAAGCGCACACCTGTGTAGTGCACACCTGTCAAGTGTACACCTGTGAAGCGCACACCTGTGAAGTGAGTGCACACCTGTGAAGTAAGTGTACACCTGTGAAGCGCACACCTGTAAAGTAAGTGCACACCTGTGTAGCGCACACCTGTGTAGTGCACATCTGTGAAGTGCACACCTGTGTAGTGCACACCTGTAAAGTAAGTGTACACCTGTGAAGCGCACACCTGTGAAGTAAGTGTACACCTGTGAAGCGCACACCTGTGTAGTGCACACCTGTAAAGTAAGTGTACACCTGTGAAGCGCACACCTGTGTAGTGCACACCTGTAAAGTAAGTGTACACCTGTGAAGCGCACACCTGTGAAGTGAGTACACACCTGTAAAGTAAGTGTACACCTGTGAAGCGCACACCTGTGTAGTACACACCTGTAAAGTAAGTGCACACCTGTGAAGCGCACACCTGTGAAGTGAGTACACACCTGTAAAGTAAGTGTACACCTGTGAAGCGCACACCTGTGTAGTGCACTCCTGTAAAGTAAGTGTACACCTGTGAAGCGCACACCTGTGAAGTGAGTACACACCTGTAAAGTAAGTGTACACCTGTGAAGCGCACACCTGTGTAGTACACACCTGTAAAGTAAGTGTACACCTGTGAAGCGCACACCTGTGAAGTGAGTGCACACCTGTGAAGCGCACACCTGTGAAGTGAGTACACACCTGTAAAGTAAGTGTACACCTGTGAAGCGCACACCTGTGTAGTGCACTCCTGTAAAGTAAGTGTACACCTGTGAAGCGCACACCTGTGAAGTGAGTACACACCTGTAAAGTAAGTGTACACCTGTGAAGCGCACACCTGTGTAGTACACACCTGTAAAGTAAGTGTACACCTGTGAAGCGCACACCTGTGAAGTGAGTGCACACCTGTGAAGCGCACACCTGTGAAGCGCACACCTGTGAAGTGCACACCTGTGAAGTGCACACCTGTGAAGCGCACACCTGTGAAGTGCACACCTGTGAAGTGAGTGCACACCTGTGAAGCGCACACCTGTGAAGCGCACACCTGTGAAGCGCACACCTGTGAAGCGCACACCTGTGAAGTGCACACCTGTGAAGTGAGTGCACACCTGTGAAGCGCACACCTGTGAAGCGCACACCTGTGAAGTGCACACCTGTGAAGTGAGTGCACACCTGTGAAGTGAGTGCACACCTGTGAAGTGAGTGCACACCTGTGAAGTGCACACCTGTGAAGTGCACACCTGTGAAGTGCACACCTGTGAAGTGCACACCTGTGAAGTGAGTGCACACCTGTGAAGTGAGTGCACACCTGTGAAGCGCACACCTGTGAAGTGCACACCTGTGAAGTGCACACCTGTGAAGTGAGTGCACACCTGTGAAGTGCACACCTGTGAAGTGCACACCTGTGAAGTGAGTGCACACCTGTGAAGCGCACACCTGTGAAGCGCACACCTGTGAAGCGCACACTAATTTATTAGTGAAGTGCACACGCAGTATTCACGATTCAGCCCATAAACACTCATGCTCGTATGAAGCGTGTGATGTAAATGTTGTTGGTTTGCTTTAAATAATTCTGCATCGTTAAATGAGTAAACAGGTTCAAGATGGTGAAAAGACAGGAGTTTAAATAAACCGTCAGAAAAGACAACTTGATGCAATATCATTTGTCACTATTAAAGCGTCTGCACGGTGACATTCTCCTGAGAGAGCGCCAGTGTTACACTTCAGCGTTACATGAACATACACCAGCACAATTCAACACATGGAAAAGATGTTTTATTTGGGATTGGGTTGAACATACTGATTATAACATACTGCAATTTATTCTCATTTAGATAGACCGATATTGATTCTTAAATCAGAAGAATTGATCTTTTAGTTAGTGCTGTTTTCAGTTGAACAAAACTTCACTAAACATTATTTGTAGCTCCCAGTCAATAATCACAATAAGCTTTATGCTTTATTACTTCTGATGTGAAACAAAGTCTCAACTTTTAAAATCTGTCAGTTTCATCACTTAATTCAATCAGTAAATGTGTGTTTGTGTCTCTTTAATGTGTGAGACAGATGAAGCGATCATCTCTTCCTCTTTACTAGTTACAGCAGCAAATAAACATCAGTGAACATCAGAAGATACAGAACAACTCACTGAATCAATCATGTCTCATGTAACCCATCAGTCCCAGCGAGCAAAGAGTCGTCTATAATACGTCTAAAAGACGTAATTGTTAGACATCCAAAAGACGTCCTCACAGGAGCCAGAATGAAAGTTTTTTATACGTCTTTTCAGGACGTTGTTTAGACGTCAATTAAAGACGTGCTACAGACGTAATTTTTAAACATCCAGAAGACATCCTCACAGGAGCCAGAATGAAAGTTTTTTATACGTCTTTTCTGGACGTTGTTTAGACGTAAATTAAAGACGTGCTACAGACGTAATTGTTAGACATCCAGAAGACGTCCTCACAGGAGCCAGAATGAAAGTTTTTTATACGTCTTTTCTGGACGTTGTATAGACGTAAATTAAAGACGTGCTACAGACGTAATTGTTAGACATCCAGAAGACGTCCTCACAGGAGCCAGAATGAAAGTTTTTTTATACGTCTTTGCTGGACATTGTATAGACGTAAATTAAAGACGTGCTACAGACGTAATTGTTAGACATCCAGAAGACGTCCTCACAGGAGCCAGAATGAAAGTTTTTTATACGTCTTTTCTGGACGTTGTTTAGACGTCAATTAAAGACGTGCTACAGACGTAATTTTTAAACATCCAGAAGACGTCCTCACAGGAGCCAGAATGAAAGTTTTTTATACGTCTTTTCTGGACGTTGTTTAGACGTAAATTAAAGACGTGCTACAGACGTAATTGTTAGACATCCAGAAGACGTCCCCACAGGAGCCAGAATGAAAGTTTTTTATACGTCTTTTCTGGACGTTGTTTAGACGTAAATTAAAGACGTGCTACAGACGTAATTGTTAGACATCCAGAAGACGTCCTCACAGGAGCCAGAATGAAAGTTTTTTATACGTCTTTTCTGGACGTTGTTTAGACGTAAATTAAAGACGTGCTACAGACGTAATTGTTAGACATCCAGAAGACGTCCCCACAGGAGCCAGAATGAAAGTTTTTTATACGTCTTTTCTGGACGTTGTATAGACGTAAATTAAAGACGTGCTACAGACGTAATTGTTAGACATCCAGAAGACGTCCTCACAGGAGCCAGAATGAACGTTTTTTATAATTTTTTTTTGGACATTGTTTAGACGTCAATTAAAGACATGCTACAGAGTTAATTGTTAGACATCTAAAGGCAGCCAGAATAAAAGTTGTATTAGTCACGTTTTCTGTAGTAGAAATGTCAAAGAAGACTGTTAAAGACCCATATTGAAACGGAAATCCCATTTGTGCATTTTGCAAGGATCCAACTTTAAAAAATCTTTACTTCAAAACAGTGGCAGTGAGTTAGTTCTCACTGAGAAAAACCCAGTTACTCATTGTTAATGGTTGTCGTGTCATGAAACTGCAGACACACAGACCATAGACCTAAATAAGATTTGAAAGAATTTTGATAATATTGAATACTCAATTGAATACGGGAACTGTGTAGAGTCTTGCATTTGTATATCTTATCAATATAATTGTAATAAACTGCTTACCATTTGCCTGTAAACCAAACTGATCACTCCAAGAAATCAACTATTTAAATCTCAAAATATATATTTTATTACTATTTTGTTCTACTGGACCAAAACTTAAAAGCCAGAACAGTAAAGTTATAAATTAACACAATTTCCCTTTAAATAATCTATAAAATGTTGTTAAAACAGTATAACATATCAATTAACAAAATGTGGCTGCTATAAGCTTCACAAGCTTCATTTATAGCGGCAAGCCCCGACTCTCCCGGGGGCATGTTTCAGATGATCGGCTGCAGACTTTATTTGGGCCTCTGTTGCAGCTGGGTCCCATTTCATGACAGCAGCTACAATCAAAGCAAAAAAATACACATGTAAAATAAATAAATACAAACGCCACTGTTGTGGTTTAGCTTGCAGCAGAGATGCATAGAAAATGTTAGTACTCGAATCAATGAAATGAAACAGTTATTAAATCACAAATCAAGTAAAATTACATCAAGCCTGATATAAAGCA